AATCACACTTTACTCTTTAAGACAATTTAGAGTCAATAAAGCTAAAGATACATTGCCAAAATTGTCTACGAAAACCACTCTAAGATCAAAGGGGTTATATGGAGAGAATGTTCGTGCCAAAAATTACTCAAAGTCATTACATTTTGAGGTTACAAGTAAAAGTCCTTCCTCAGTTCTGCCGGGTAACACATATTTCATCCTATCCGAGTCCCGCCCACAACCAAAGAGTTCGAGCCCAATAAAAACACTGATCAATACACGAGCAGTGGCTTTAAATACCTTTTTTCTTCACTTTCTTCTTTGTATGATAAGTTAAACGGGCATTTATCTCAGTTTCCCAATTTCCATTTTCTTCTTCATTGCCTTCTTACCATGATAAATGAAGGAATCCACTATTCCGGCAACTGTAAATATACCTGGAAAACAATAATATTATAAGATTCAGAAAATGTGATACAACGTAAATATTACAAAATGAGAGACGTATGATGTTTGTCCCATTTCCATTCAAAGACTGGACAAATAAAATGTTTGCAGTAATCATCTCCCAATAAATCCACAACGATTTCTCACTCATTCATGACAATATTTTTCGAATATAATAGAGTAATCGAAACATATTTCTAGTTAAAAGAGTAATCAAAATTGCATGCACAATGAATAAGTGGAGAGTAAATATAATATGAAAATCAGATTACCCCCGACTATAGCACAGATGTGTGTCAAGAAGTGTAGGAATGACGTGTGCTCCTCAGTGAAGGTCACCTGTAAACATGAAAACATATTTTAGTCGAAGCCAACATGTGATATGAACCACTACACTAGAAAATGCTTAAAACTCATACAATCAAAGTCTGTATATGTTTGGGATATAACTACAAAATACCCTTTTTCTCACTTGTTTCTAAACACAACCAACAAAAAAAATAAAAAAAAAAATAATATAAAATCAATTTAAAGTCCTCTACACTCCAATGTTTGCATTTTCTGAACAAATACAAACCATTCCGGGCACTACTTTTAAAACGAGAAAAAATATATTGAAGGTCGAATTTGTAACTTTGAGAGATTACCATGCTTTCTATAGTCAAACCACTAGGGGTATTTCTCATCATTTATCCCTGTTTTTTATAGCTCAAATTGAAGCCACGCATATCAATTCGAAAAAAAAAAAATCGACACACGTAACTTCACAAAGAGAAGTCCTTCATGTAAAATTTTACTTCATGATGAAATCTGCAATAAAACCAACCTTTATGGGAGAAAGGTCGAAAAAGAAGAAAACTCCAGGAGGGGATCGGAAATGGTCCTCTTCAGAACTTTTGTAATGCTCAGTCACCGAGAACTGCATTCAGAGGCTCCAAAATGTAACACTAACAAAAGGAAAGAAATAATTTGATAAAACTTCCATCTTCGAAAGCCTTAAGTACCTGATTTGACTCAATCGTATGGCCCCTAATGTTGGTGTATATGGTTGGGACAACCTGCAAAAAGTAAACCACGTTTTTTAGACCTCAAGTTATGTTCAATGTTCAGAAAACTCAAAACCTGCCATATTGCTTACAGCTTAGTGTTCAGATAAAGCTTATAAAATATATCTTAAATGCCTGTTTATCTCCTGAAAGTGTTCTCATTAATTTTTTTAATAAAAAATAGAGCTATAATCTCAAAATTTTAAAATCGGATTGGATAGGTTGGAATGGGAAAATTGACGGGTTCAGTTTGCTGCAACGAATCGGTTGCCAACAAAACCAGTCAAGAACCAGTAGTTGACCAGTCAAAGCAGACCGGCTGGTCTGACCAGTCCATTTCTTTTTCGGAAAATTAGTTTTAATATAAATAAAAACATATTTAGGGTGTGTGTGTATATAAATAAACTCAATCTACACTCAGTTCATACTCGAAATCTAACTCAACTTTAACTCAAAACCCCACGATCCTAATATTATCAATATAGTCAAATAATATCAACCAATAATTTTTACATATCACATCAACTTTAATTCATTATTCATCCACTCACACTAGCCATCAATTCATATCATCTCTCTTGTACTTTTATATCAAATCAACTTTAATTATTTTATTTGAAATATTATTTTAATATAAAATCAAAATTCCACTAACAATTAACCATACCACCTTTTTAAAACTTAACCATGGTTAACCCAAAAAAACTCGTTTTGAGTGGATATATTTGTATACAAATACGCCCTTAAATATATTAGATATGTATAAATTATCAACTAGTTCCAAGTATTTGAGAGGTTAAATGATCTAAACATATAGTTCATGATTGTATATATAATTTATTATTAGAAGTAATATATATTTAAAAATATTAATTACTTAAATATTGATCCAACTGGTTCAACAACTGGTCACCCAGTGAATCATTGAACTTGTGCAGCTTGACTACTTCGATGAATGGTCCGTTTGAAAACCTTGATAATTTTCCAAAAGTTGTTTTAATTTACTATTCATCATAAAAGTCAACAAGACACTTGTAGTTGGACCGGTCAAAAAAATTAATCATATTTAGAAGGCTCATTAGCTAAGGCCAGAGTTGAACCATAGTTTCAAGACATAAAGAAGGAGGAATAAAGAAAAGAGAAATGAATAACCATTTCACTCCCAAACCATAAAACCAAGAGAATACTAACCTTGATAAAGTACTGATACACCCCATTTGGCATTTCTTGCACCCAGTGTACCCTGAAAATCAACATGATTCTTTATTAAGGCCCAAAAAATTACAACAATTTACTAACCAAAAGGAACAACTACAGAAACTGAATTTATTATTTAAAAAGCCCCCATAGGTCTTTTACAACAAATAATTTCAGTAGCACAGTCCCAAGTTGGTCATGAATAATACGCACAAGTTTAAGATATATTACCCATCCAGCGGATTAACTATTCCAGGAATAGAATCTCCAAATGATAATTTGTTAATTTTGTGGCTTATCTGCATTGCATATGATGAAACAAGTACAGTAATCAGTATTCAGAATTGAAATTAAAGAAACTGTATAGAGAAGCATTGACCACAGAAAAAGAGATTTTAACGCATAATTTGTAGAAGGAAAATAAACAATTACTCACATTGTAACTTTCCGTTTGTATATTTAGCAAATCGAGCAGCTGGAAATTTTGGTGATGAATGCTCTTACCAGGGGCAAAGTGGAAATTCCCAGCAACTCTATTTACCTCCAGAGATCCATGTATATTGCATCCTTCACCTACTTCCTCTTTAACTTTTTGCACAAAACCTTCTCTTTTGCACTTAATACCATTACGGCAGACAAGAGATGATTGTTCAATTGCAGAGGTAAAAAGTTTAGTCAAATTGAACATCAATCAGTTTCGTGCTTTTTATTTGTTCTAAACATAATCACAACAATTCAGAACAAGGAAATTAGCTAATCTCAATTTCCACCAATTGTAACAGACATCTAATAGATTTTTAGTGGATGAAATGGTTGTCATACAATAAAACTATAACTTGTCATATAGAGAGAATTTTATCTCAGGCATAGCATCTTCCTTTGATATCTATAAGCGACTTTCCCAAATCGTATCGTGTGCAGTTATACAGTTCCTACCTTAATTTGTAAATCTCATGCAAATAACGGTTTCAGAAGAATATTGGTCACAAATGAATAGAAAAAATTGCTTAATAAATAATGGTAATGCACTAAGACAGCAAAAGATGTTCCCTATCAACCTGATCAATCAAATCAGTGTTCGTCAGTCCCCATCCTTTCTTACGATATGCTTCACGAACCTCTTCACATGAATTACAACAATCATCATCAGACTGCAAAAAGAAAAATATGGATATTAACCAAAACCCGATCTGGATGCCTTTAAGATGATTTTGGCAGCATGTAAAACGTAGCATAAAGAAGCAACAAAATAAAAGAAAATGAACATAAGGAAACCGACAATCAACAAAAAGACGACATAGGCCCGGATACAGGTCTAATTGAACCAAAAAGAAAATAACAAAAGTCACTTCCAAAGCATTATTCCAATCCTCTATAGAAGTTCCATTAATGACAATGATGCAACCAAGGTTAGCAGTCGATTAACATGACGGTTCTTATGCCAAACTGGTTAGTTATCCTTGCAAAAGCATGTACCACTATATATATATATATATATATATATATATACACACACACACACACACACACACACCATATAAGTACCTGCATCCCTACACCCAACTCTACCCAAACAGACAGAAAAAACATTGTCAGACGAAGTAAATAACGTAAACAAATATCCAGGTGGAAAACAGTCTGTAACATAAGCTGCCCGAGTACTTACCCCTCACTTGTAAACAACTGTGGTAAGGAACTTCACAAGAAAACATATAATCATATTTGCAGGCAAGAAAGAAATTAGTTTTTCAAAATATTCCGTAAGGAAACATGTTTTCTTTTAAAAAAAAAATAATAAAAAATAGATCAAATAAATTTATGAATCCAGATAGTCCACGGGAATAGAGATAACAGCAATTATATGGAAAATGATCATGAATCAATCACATGATCAATCTAGCCTGGGACGCCATCGCATGCCATCATAAATCAAAAATGCCAGACTAAAGACTATTGAGTCAAATGGCAAATTGTTTAATTTATCTGCTTCCAGCTCAGTTTCCAAAACGAGCGAATAACAGAGAAGTAACGTAAGTACCGCTTCGGCACCAAAACATGAACCACAGTATGTCTCATTGTGCTCAAGCCGTCCACCATGCCTCTGCAAAGGCCTCTCTATCTGAAATTAAAACATCAAACATGATATGAATTAAATATCCAATCACTGTATTAACTTTACTATTCAAGAAATTTACTAGACTCGATTGGAGCACTTCGACATATTCCATAAGACTGGTCTTACGAAGCAAAAATGTTACCATCAAAGGATGAAGGCATAATGATATCTTAAACTTGAATAACAATTCAGTTCAAATAATTCAGAAACATTGGGAAATCATGCAGATGTATAATCAAGCACAAATGGAAAAGGATGGAATCAAGCTCATCATCTAATACTACCATAAGGTTCATTCACTGCCAGTTCATGACCCAAGCACATGGCTGAGGTTGATAGTGGAACTATAAACAGATGCATAAAGGACATGATAGGTCAGGTACAAAAAGCAAGAAACTGTTTTCACTTACCTTGGGTGCACCAATGCCATCTTGCCTCACTTCTATTACATTACCATGAGAATCAATTCTTTTCTTGAATATATCATGCCTCTGCAAGTTCAGTGAAGCATGTGAACACATCAGAGGTATAATTTGTAACCATAAAAAGGTCAAGAAGGCAAACAACACTGCAAAGCAGCATGAGTCACACAATAAGGTTAGCTGCTAAACTATGAAAACAAAATGAAAGAAAGAAATGTATGCCATACTATGTCCATATGTCGCTCCCCACTGATATCCATGGTGTCCAGACTCAACAATGTACATGGAATGGCTGGAAAGGTTACATCAAACTGCATTCATATTGACATGGAAAGTAAATCTTCACACATGACCAAAACAAAATAAAACCAGAAAGGAGAATTAATAGCTGATGCTCAAGTTTCAACCAATATAGAAGTATAATATGATAGACAAGATTATCATATTTTGAGTTTAACTGGGCAATCAAAGAAATCACAAGTCTACTCTATCTCGAAGACTAACTAACTTGAACCACAAAAAAATTAAAGTCCAGAAGACTAGAGCTAAAGGTGCAATATCATATGGAGCTTCAACACATCAGGCAAATGAAAAATATTCAGATTTTTGACAGAAAGCAGTTATCTTACATTGATACGTAATTTCCCTCCCCTAGAAGTGTCTACCACAAGTTTTGTTTCTGTCACTGTGTGGAGGTATAATCCTGCACATTGGAAAGCCATTAAATATGATATCCAATCACAGAAGTAACAGTTAATGCAACATCAAGCAGAACATTTGAAATTACGCGCCTCAGAAGTAATCGATGAGCAATATGACCAGCACTGACAAAATAGTTGCGGGTGGTAGTGGGATCACTTTTTTAAGGTTTTTGAACTAACAACCCCAGAGAACAACAATGCAACAAATCAATCATTACAGATCGTTTATGCATTTCAGACTTGCATTGAGTTACAGATAACAATTTGGGTAATGAGTCAGTGAATACTGAAAATCTTTGGCCTCTTGAATAAAGCATTTATTTATTAACTTTCATCCTATTTAACCAAAATAACCTTTTTCCATTTTACTTCCCAACAGTTTGATCTCACCGGACCACAACCATATAGCTTGACAATTCAACCATATAGAAGATTTTTCCATGTTCTTTTATATTCCAAAACTAATAGGGTTGATATGAAAGTCTAGACTACATTTTAACTGTCAACCTACATCACCTCTAACTAAATCAATTTTAGCAAATCAACTAGAGACGCATTAGTGGCTAAATTGGAACCACATGATGTTCCCCAAGGTTCACTTATATTAACTCATATCACGTAGATTCACACCTCTCTCAAATTCATCACGATCACATTCAGCACACACCAAAAAATCCACGAACTTGCAGCCCCACAAAATTAGAAATAAGAACCCGTTATTTTCTTCTGGTAAATATTATAAAAAATTAAGACTTTATTTCGTAAACCAAACAAGCATCAAAATAATCATAAAACAAAATAATTGCACTATCATCGCAGACAAATACATACTGAACTCGGAGAGGAAAAGCAAAGCAATGAGGATCGAGGAGGCGAGCGTGATGACGCCACCGGATAGCGTTCGGCTGTAAAAATCCTCATTGATTTTGGGGTACGCGTCCAGATTCCGAAGCTTATTGTAAACTCTATCCATGATCTTCACATAAAAATAGAAAAACCTAGAACGTCCCTCTATTATTTTACGCCGGCCAAGAATTTCCCTTATTCCCCCTTTCCTAAATTCGGAAATTCCGTCGTCGACCGATTTGATGATAACCGATTCGAACGCTTATGGCCGGCGGAGAGCGAGATGAAAATGGAGGGTTTGACCACCAAGGAAGATGATTTACTTTTTTCTGTTCTTTTCAATTTTTCTAATTTTTATCATTATTTGTGGGAAAGAGAAATTGAAAGAAATAAAAATAACAGCCCTTCACTAGGTTTACTGATTTTTTTTTATTTTTTATTTTTTATTTTTATTTTTTTTTTTTTTTCTTTAGTAAATACAAAATAGGACGATAATTTTTGCGGGCATGCCGGGCCTTAATCAGGATTGTTGATTTTAGAATATCTAGAATTTCAAAGTCTTTTGAATTTCTTATGAGAATTAATTTATTGCTTTCTTATTTAGGTATAACTTTATACCACAACACTGATTTTGTTACTTTGATGTTTTAACCATTTTGGTAAGTTTGGACCAAAATTATAAGAAAACTAGTATTCGACCTTGTGCATTTGCACATATGTAAATAAAATTAAATATTATAAGTTACATTTATGTATATAATATAAAAATTATAAGTTATATAATTGTATTATATTTCAAACATATAGTATTATAAGTTATATTTATGTATATAATATTAAAATTATAAATTATATAATAGTATTATATTTTAAAATTTGATCATTGGTTAAAATAAATAGTACACACGATTTGATTGTATACGAATCACTATATTGATTGCATAAAATGTAATAAATATATACTTTTTATAATTTTGAGTGATCATGATTAATTAATTAGCTGAAAAATATTACATTTATTATAACAATTGCTTATGTGATTTTAAGAAATTTTACTATGACATAAAAAAAATTAATTTATTAATATACAACCGCTTCATCATATAAAAAAATATCGATTTTAGTGTAAAATATAATTTTATGTAACTTTCATATATTAATTAGTATAAAATATAATTACTAATTTTAATTTTAACTATTATATTATTCAATAAAAAATATAATTATTAATCAATTAACATAAAATATAATAGTTTTTGTCTTAATTAACTCAAAAAAAATGTAATGAAATATTTTCTTATTAATGAGATTGGGTGTATTAATGCCACATAAATAAAATTTATTAGGTTCTATTTATTACGTTTTATTAATGATTTGCCACATAGGTAAAATTTATTAAGTTTTATTTATTAGGTAAAATTTATTGCTTAGCTAGCAATTATATATATATAGATAAATAAATAAAATATATATATATATACGCGTACTAACATTAATAGCTTTGGATACTTGCTCATATACGTTTTTTTTTTAATGAAAATAATGAAATACCTGCTCATATACGTGATCCTCGTGAGATTGGGTCAAATTCAAAATTATTGCAATGTCAATTGGCTCAGACGAGCATGATTAATTAACCGTAAAAAGTCAAACACAAAGTCAAGGACATAATAAATTTGGATACAGAGCGATACCATATAACTATGGGATGAATTCAGTCAACACAAGTGATGAATAAGGTGTCCCATACTCCAATCAACGGCTTTACTTTTTCCTTAGTCACGTCATAGCAATCAAAATACGAAATTAGGCATCCAAGTCACTTAACACAAAAATCATTTTTTCAATAAAAAAGTATCACTTTTTCATTCACATCATCTTTCTACTAAATCTTTCGTCGTTTAAACACACATCCACGTTCCTACACATTTATTTAAATATATATATGGAACCCATTATTCACTCATTCAATATAATTTTTTATATTCTATTCTCAATAAAAGTAAATTTTAATATTTTTAAATTATAATAATAAATTTTAAATGCATGAAAATGAAATAACATTACAAGATCAAAATAACTTAAATTAAGATTACACAAGAAAAAAATAGTACAATTACAAAAAATATTTTTTTTCGTTGTTGACAAAATGAGTCAACAGTGGAAAGTGTGATATAGATAAAAAATAAGTTAAATATATAAAAGAATAATAAAATAATTAAACAATTTCATTTAAAACAAAAAAAAAAAATTAAAGGGCTGAACGCGTTCAGTCCTTTGAACGGTAATATGTGCCCCACTAAAAAATGAACGCCCGCAATCCACTTAACGCCAATTTAGCGTTTAAACGGGGCGCTTTAACGCCCCCAATGCAGGTGCCCTTAATAGTTACATTCTTTTGGGATTCTAAAATTTATTTTAATAATTTTAGAAATTTTGATATATTTTAATCTGACTTTTTTTAAATTTTTAAAAGTTTCACGTATTTATTTGAGATTTAAAAAAAAAAATAAGAATTTTTTTGGTACTTAACTTTTTAGAGACTAGTGTTAGGATTTTTTAAGATTTTGTTACATTACAAAAGAAAAAATATCTACGAAATGAAATATTAAGATTTTGTAAGAATTCATAGAATTTTTTTTAAATCTGAAAATTCTAAAGTATCAAATCATTACAAGTCTTAAATTGTTACTCAAATTTTCAAATACATCCCGATATAGCACTCAGAATGGTTCGGCAGCCCGACTCGAGCAGTCAACTCGGCTACACTGGTCTGAGAGAGCTCTGGTCTGTCCAGAAGTAAGTAACCCATGGACATACCTAGTTTTGTCCAAGCTCCTTTGTTCCCTGGCACCTCACTATCCAATGTCTGAGCTACTTGTTAGTTATGTTATCCGAGCTATGTTATGCTCGAGCTACAGGATACACGTAGGTTGTCTGAGCTACCAGGGCACTTTTACCTTGGACCAATTAATCGAGCTACTCTGGGACCAACTAACCTGGCTACTCCGGGATCAAATTAGCTCGAGCTGACTATAGTTGGTTTACCCAAGTTACAATATGTGTGATATCATCTAGACCCTCATTATCAAACGAGTTATTGTTTTCGAGTTTAATAGACTTGTTTGATAATAACTAAAAATAGTAATAAACTTGAAAGGTCCTACCCGACCTAAACTCATTGAGACTTACATCGTACGTCACGCTTGTATCTTTGCATGTTCCATCTATCAGACCCCTCAGAATCCATACCCAAGACTTGCGTGTGAGCCTTTCAATTTATTTTTGTCTACCGGTAGACCCAATATAAGCTTCTCTATAAATCCCGCCACTTCTCCTATTCCCCATTTTTGAGTTTTGAATTTTTAATCAAACCTACAAAAAAATTCTCAAAACTTCTTCTGCAGTATCCGACGACTTTTTGAACAAGCATTGCCTTGCCCAGTTGCCCGAAGACCTGCCCGAGTGCCAAAACTGCCCGAGGGCTCGCCCGACGGTTAGCCCAAATTTAAACGTTACCCGTAGGATCATTTAGTTATTTCTCTTGTAGCCCTAAAAGTGTCCTCTGTCAACAGCTCAGCCCTAATCTGTTGTATTGTCCGAGTTGTACCATGTCTGAAATACTAACATACTTATTCGGTCTATGCTATCTACCTGTTATGTTGTCTGACTCCGAGCTACGGGCACACCTAGGTTTGTCCGAGCTACTTGGCTCCCTAACACCTCACTGTCGAAAATGTCTGATCTACTTACTTACTGTCTGAGCTATGGACAGGGGCGGATGCAAAGAAGGACCAGTGTGGGCCTAGGGCCACACTGAAAAATAAATAAATAAATAAAATAAAAACAACTATATATTGCCATTAGCCCATATTGATTATACTTATGCAATAATAATCCTAAACTATAAACCCATTATTAAAAGTCTTAATTATGAGTCCATAAGAAAAAAGAAATGAGCCCATATAAAAAAGTTTCAATTTAACAACCAACTTAACCCAACATAATAAAGAGAGCCTTGCTTTCTTATTTAGCTAAAAATAAAATTAGAATTGATTAACTAACATAAGAGGAGCTTGGGCAAAACAAAAAAGATGAGAGGGGAAAGAAGAGAAGAGAAAGAGAGAAAAGAGTAAAAAAGATTATCAATTTTTGGTCCAATTGTTCGAAAAGACGATTTGCAAGGTAACAAAATCCGTTTATGTTTATTTTGATGGAGGTAAAAATTATTCTTCTTTATTTTTTGGGTAATGGAAATTTATTTTTTTATGTAGAAATTTCAAATTCAATCCCTAATGTGCTTATAGTTTTTTAAAGTGTGATATGTAGAAAATGAAACCTTTTTGAAAATTAGTAATGATGTTATTATCGAGCGATATCAGGCCATGAAAACTCGTAAAGAACGACTATGAAGATATATTTTTGTATTTACACTTTTCATTATAATATTTTATATTTTTTCATTAAGTAATTTGGCCCCTCCTCAATATCTTTGCTAGATCCGCCCCTGGCTATGGACATACTTAGTTTTGTCTGAGCTACTTGGTTCCCTGGCACCTCACTATCAAATGTTCGAGCTATTTGCTATTTATGTTATTTGAGCTATCTTATGCCCAAGCTATAGACACACCTAGGTTGTCTGAGCTACCAGGGCACTAATACCTTGAACCAATTAACCAAGCCACTCTAGGACCAATTAGCTCGAGCTAACTGTAGAAGCTACACTATGTGTTATATCAAGTATGTTGGTTGGTTTACTTGAGCTACACTATGTGTTATATCAAGTATGTTGGTGTTGTGTGTTATAGTTAGAATTTCTCTTTGACAGTGTAAATCCAAATGGGATGTGTGTCGAGCTGTGTATTGATTCTAACTTATTTATGCAATATTATCATTTAGTTAAAAAAAAATATCCCAAATCATTAGGTGTTCATATATATTATTCATACAATATTATCATTTAGTTTGAAAAAAAATACTATCCCAAATCATTAGTTGTTCATATTTTAACACACAAATGGAACTCCCAAAACGATTTGGATAAAAGGTGTTACTATTCACCACCCTCTTTAGACCGTTTTGCCCCTGAATTTTTTTTTTCAAAGACT